GCTATTTCTGATGAGTAGATCTGTTTATACAAGATTCACATGTACTACTAATGGGACAAATGTCAATGTATGCATTACCTTTTGATAAATCACCTTGGGTTTTACTGCCTTAATTACTGATAATGCTTAAACATGCCTGGAATTTGAATACAGAGGCTTAAGCAAGTGTTTTGGACTTTCAGGTCAAAGAAAATAATATTGCATATGAATTGGACTTTTCTAAAGTCTACTGGAACCCACGTCTTTCCACAGAACATGGCCGTATCATTGAGCTTTTAAAGCCCGGTGATGTCCTTTTCGATGTCTTTGCTGGCATTGGACCTTTTGCTATTCCAGCAGCAAAGAAAAAGTGCCACGTATTTGCAAATGATCTCAATCCTGAATCCTACAACTGGCTTCTGCACAACTGCAAACTAAACAAAGTAGACAACAAAATAAAAGCGTTCAACATGGATGGCAGGGACTTCCTCCTGGGGCCGGTGAGAGAAGAACTAAGTAAAGAGCTCCCACTTCTGAAAGAAGAACAGAAAACCTCTTTTCACATAGTCATGAATTTGCCAGCTTTGGCTATTGAATTTCTCGATGTTTTCAGGCATCTCCTAGCTGGAGAGCCATGCAGCACTGCTGGCCTTCCCACGGTGCACTGCTACGGTTTCTCCAAACACGACGACCCAGCCAAAGATATCCAAGAACGAGCTGAAGCCTCGCTGGGAGTCTCCTTGGATGGACGCTGTTCTACTTACCTGGTTAGAAATGTTGCACCGAACAAGGAGATGCTGTGCATCAGTTTCCGGATTCCGGCCGACGTGCTGTACAAGAGACCCTGCCCTGATGAAGGTAAGGAACGAGCCTCTTACGTGGCACTTGGATTTCAGGCTGCACCTTTTGCTGTCTCAGGCTGTTCCCACCTTGTCAGCCCTGCAGGCCACTTCAGCCTCGTGACAGCAATGCTGTACTCCGGTGCGAGCACAGACTGAGCACCTGCACGTGTGCAGCAGCTGCAGGGCTTCGTGCGCTCTCGCTAACAGTGGTCCGTCCTCTGATCCCAGATCCGCAGAAAAAAATGGTGGACTGGATAGGACCAGGCCGTAGGCCATAAACCAGACCTCTATGCCTTAGACTGCGTATTGGGGGAGCATGGGGTATCTAACGTCAAGCACGCGCTTCTACCACCTAAATACTTAAGAACTGGAGCTCCAGTTTCACCCAGGGTAGAATGGCATGCTTCCAAGTGACTGGTCCCAGTTCTGACCTCCTCCCTTACGCTTGCACAGACTCAGTTTAGGTCTGGAGTCACTACATCAGCAGAATCCAGTTCTGTACAATTTCACTGAGAAATAGATAGCCCTAGAGATCTCTGATGTTGAATTTGATTATATTTTTTTTTATAATTGGTCATTTGTTTCTTGAAGTACTTGTAGAAGGTAGTTGCTTTCAGTGATCTTGCACTACATGATGAGGGGGACCGGGGGGAGGCTTTCAGCCTGCAGTTACCTGAACTGGAGGAAGGGAGGTTTTGATAAAGCTTTAATGCCATGAAACTTATTTTTACGCTATTGTTGGGTAGCTCTCAGATGTAGGTCAAAATGTAGCTCAATACAGGTTTTTTGAAAGTCCTTTTTGGCATTTAGTAGAGCGCCCCCTCCATTACTGCTGTAACAGTTTTTGTTTGTGACTGTTAATCTTGGTTTTAACTCTCATCTCTTCCTGTTAAATCCCTTAAGTGTTAATGGCTTGTGGTTTAGTTCAGTCTGTTTACTGTACGTTAAATAACCTACTTTTTCTGACCTTCTTCCAGCAAAACCAGCCTCTAAACGTCTGTGTACCAGCAAAGATCTTTCTGAAGAAAAGTTACCAAGGTGAAGACTAGAGTTATGGTAACTACCTTAGTAGTGTGCGTAACGTATACTTAGGGTACTTCTGGTTTACCCCTTGTATTATTTGAAGCGTACCTGTGTTACCCATCTCAGGTGTGGAGATGCGTAATGCGTGTTGCAGCTTGCTTCCTGCATTTATCTTTTTTTTTTTTATTGTGGGATCAACAAGCAGATTGAAATTGCTGTTACTACAAAAAAATAAAACTTCACTTTTTTGTAATAAATGTGGTTTGATACTTTTCTGCTCTCTATTGTTTCACGCCCTGTGATAATTCAGTGACACAGACTGGGATAGTTTTCTGCTGTGTTACTCTGATAATGCGCCATTTGTGGTGACACCAGATTTTTCTGTTTTGTTGGGTCTAGCAAGATGACTTGTATAACCCTTGCATTGGATTCCCTTTGGCAAATGGTTTTGGTGTTTAAGAATGTTGGATCGGTGTTAGCGGATGTGCAAACAGCTCTTGTGTAAGCAAGATAACCTTTCAAAAACTTAACCCAAGATCCATAAAGGCCCAAATAGCCATGTATACTTTTTCCTGGGCTTCTGGGTAATCAGTGCTTTTTAACACTGAGATTTAACTAGGGATCAGTTGACTCCTAACTTAGTGTTTGCCCACTGTTGAAGCAGGAAGGACTCTAATGCCGTTTGCACATTTGCAGGTGAAGGCATCTTGATCCGCCTCATCCGGTGGACTTTGTGCCTCTGCCATCTCCCAGCTCTCCCCCTACCCGTCCAAGTGCTCTGCTGTTGCAGTCCCTGGGTGATCTCTGGCTGGCTGCCCATATTCTGCAGGGATCCGAAAAGCCTCTGCCTTTGATTTCCTTTTCTTACCCATCCAAACTATTGTTGGGCAATGTCAACCACAAACAGTTTATTTGGACAGAGAACTCGGATCACCCTGTTTCAGATACTTCCCTTCAGTCCAAGCTTGGAGCTCACGCCTAGCAACTCAGTTACCACACGTCCGTCACCCTCCCTGGCTCTGCGGCTGCGGCTCTATGGCTGGGGCCTGTACCCCTGTGTTTTGGTTCTCCCCCAGACAGCCACTACGGCCTGTGGATTTGGTTTGCGCAGTGGCTCGATGTTACAGCCTTTCCACTGCCAGTGCTTTTGAGCAAGCCTTCGTGGCTTGGTTACTGCTGGATTGCATTTATCAAACCAGGGGGAAAAAAAAAAAAAACATCACTCACTCACTATGCTGGAAGCTGCCGCACAGATGACCTCCCTGCCCTTTAAAATGGCATTGCAACAGTTTTCACCCATTTGTCCTTGCTGCCAGTGACAGGCACATCATATCCTCGCCCTACCAGTCACTGCTGCTCAAAGAGCAAGTGCTGGACCCGCCTCCAGCCTGCGATGCTCTCCCCCTTTACGTTGTCTAACGCCGCTGCGTGCTTTCCTACTGCTGCCCTGCAGGTTTCCCATAAACATTTGAAAGCTGCTCCTGTTCTTTAGAGCCCTCTGTAAACACCACCGTAGCGATAAGGCCCTCAGCCGTTCTGGGATGACGCGGTCACCCCATGATCTGCGCTAGCACGCCTGTCTGTACTGCTGGAGGCTGCCGGTCCCTCAGACTGCATGCATTGCCTCAGTCCAAATTTAGGGCTTCTCGGCACTACTGTGCTGACAGAAACCTGGCTTTGATCACCATTTTTGTGTTAAGCGAGTCAACTACCTAACTCTGATTTTCAGCACATGGCTAAGGTATCCCAGGGCAGCGAAGGCATTTCGATCTTTAACGTTTTGTTCGCTTAAGGATTAAATGCCATTGTTAATTTAGCAACACAACTTTAGTTTATACTCGTAACCAGGGGGGTTTCCACATCTCTATGCAGTTGCCACTTGTGCATATAACCCTCCACATGAAATAGCAAATGATAGGTACGTGCAAGTTGCATGAGTGTATTTAAAGAATACATATGAATGTGCACGTGCAGTTCTGTATCTATTAGTGCAATGACCTGAGGCTTTACAAACTGAATACAAAGCAGATCATGGCTGACGCAGATCTTTACTCGTCTGGGTGAGCCCACAGCAGTACAGACTCCCCGGCTTGCTGCTACTCCCTCCTGGGGTCCCGAGCTGACCCCCAGGACTGCCAGTACCTTGTGCCTGGGAAGAGGAGACAGGCTGTCGTGCGTCCGTGACGGAGGGAATGAACTCCCACCGCTTCTGGCTGCTAGGAGAACAATCAGCCAGGCCCGTCTACTGTGAGCAAGGCAACAGCTAAATAAAGGACCCGTCAACTTTCAGGCCTGGCAGCTGAGAGGAGGGGAGGAAGGACACCTGGCAGAAAGCAGCACTCGCCCTTCAACGCCCAGCCACAGGCTTTCTGCCCAAGAGCCATACCCGAAGGCCTTTTCTACACCTCTGCTTCCTTGTGGGTAACGATACCTGTCAGCAACTATTCCAGGCACAAACAAGAGGATTTCAGAAAAAGGGCAAGGGAAATTTTGGTGCCTCCCTCCGCTTTCCTTAAAGGAAGCACTGAATCTGGGAGAGAGCTTATTCTTCTATTACATCATAATAAAAATACATTCATTCAGTACACTCCTCAGAGCGGTTTTCAACAACTACGAAGGGATGACCCATAAACCGTGGCCCAGGCTTTAGAGGCACTCGCTGTCCTGAACAGCTTCCAGTCTCCTGCGCTTTATACACAACCCGTGGCAAAGACCAGTCCCGCCGCAGGAAGCCCATCTCTGCTGGAATTAGTCTGCATTCCACTACGTGGAGAGGGGAAGGAATACGTAAAAGCGGTAGATCAAGCGGCAAAGGTCATCCCAAAAGCCAGGCAAAGGGATGTTCCTGCCAAAAAAAGCTCCTGAACACATGACGGAAAAGTTGCAAACAGAGCTAAACAGGGAAAAAACAAAACCAATTTTGACTAATGACCGAGCCTCGTATCAAAGGCTTCTTAGGTTGCTTCTAGAGAAAGTTGAAAGACTTTCAGCTAAAGATTTGTTTTCCAGACGAAGGTAAGAACAAAGTGACATCAGGAAGGATCCTGCACAAGAGTTGTGTCAGCATAGTTCCAGGGTTTCTTTTCTCATCCAGCTGGCAGGAGGAAAAACCCACTTGTCTGAACTGGGGAAACTAGTTTTATGGGAAGAAAATGTAGGCTTGAATATTGACACTAAATGTTATAATCAAAATGGCATTTAAATGCTTGTGCAAATAAAACCCTGCAATAAGAGTAAAACCACGAACTTTAATAAAAAAGTCTGGCTTTATTTAAAAAAAAATTTACAAGTGTATTTCTTTAAACCTCAAACATACGCAGCTGAGTTATTCACATCTTCCATTAGATGTGGCTTATTGCTTCAGCCTCCCTCAGCAAAGTGCCACATGACTAACGAGTCTCCCCCTCCACAAAAATGTATCTACCATTTTACAAAGCTCTCGTGCAGACGGGTTCTTTTTTTTTTTTTCCTTTAACGCTTAAACACAGCTGGTTTTACACAGAAAAGTGACTGCAGCTTAGCCATTTTGCAGATGGCAGCAATTTTACCCAACCTTTGCTGCCTTGATTTGCTTCTCGCTCCATTTGGTGTCCCTTGATCACAGGCTGATGCACACTGGCTAGCTGGGGTACCAGAAGAGACCACTGAAAGCATCCTGTAAGGCTCGGTGACAAGCAAGAGAAGAAGTGTAGCCCCCAGCAAGATCCTGCGGAGAGGCGGCTCGTACATGGTTGAGATACCTAAAACAAAGAGCAGCATTATTTTAGCGCAGAAATAAACACATCATACACCTGCGTAGTTCACAGTACAGTGAGGTCGAGGCTACTTTTTGGGAGAAAGCAAGGAGAAGGAGCTGCCTACTGCTAGCCACCTGTGGAGGTATCAGTACAAGTTTCTATTAGTTATGACGATGATGATGATGCACCTTCAGACAAGCTGCCCAGCCAACGCTCTGAATAAACTTGACTCCTTGCAATAGGCTGCACAGGGCTAAGTGCACTCGCTGGTTTGTATTTTCTGTGTTCGCTCTGGGGCAAGGTTGCATTTCCCCCCCCTTCAGTGACTCCTTCTAAGATGATGACAATGACGATGACACAAGCTTTCCTACGCTCCCACAGGAATTGGAGGGTTTCAGCTCTGCCTGGTTAACACCAGGCACTCCCAAGAGCTGCCTGTGCTGGTTGCTCTGATGACAACAGGGCTGAACTTTCTGCTCTCAGACCTATCAGTATCTGGAGTAACTCCACTGCCACAGGGAATTAGATCTATAGAAGGCTGTCATCAACATTTTGGCTAAACAAGCCTCTAAACTTCACCATTAATTAAGTATCATCACCCGTTTGCAAAGCCATCTAATTTTACACCCAACCAGCCAGACTGATGGGCTGACATTGAAACACACTACCGGTGACACTGGCGCTGCCGCAAGCTCTTGGCTCCACTCAGCTCCTTCTGAGGCTCAAACCCAGTCGTGCAAAGCCAAGAGCCCCCATTAAAGGTGTCTACTCAGGGGGACTGAATAGTTTCATTCCATGCCGTAACCCTATAGTTCCTGCACCCCACAAGACAGATATGAGACCGGATTGTCAGCTACTTTTGCACCAAAATCCCATCCAATACAAAGACAGCCGCAGACTGTAGCCTAGCGCCATCAGCACAATGACCGTCTCAAATTCTGAACACCAGGTAAAAACGCCATAAATGAGAACTGTCTTTCGCAGCAGCCGTGTAAGCTGCAGAGCTTCAGCTAGCTGTTTTGATTCATCACTTGGTACATGTTGCTCCTGGGAAGGTTGAGTCATTCCACCTCTGGCTTGGCAATTCAAGCATAAACTTGCAAAATGCATACAGCCTTTTATAATGTTATCCCCAGAAACCCAAAACAGCTGCACTTTTGGCAGGAAAATACAGGACCACCAGTAAAATATCCAAAACAGTTGCATCTTTTAATTTATGACTGTACACTGTTTCCATAAAGAGTATATAAAACAGGTCAGATTTTATAGGTAAGACATAATAAACAGTCATACTCATTGATGCCATAAATGTGTAGAAAAAGAGGTTACTTAGAAATGATTAATTACAGTTTTTAAACTGTATTTCTTGCACCTAATAACCACAATGCACAGACATGAGCAATGTTTCTGTGTGATTGTCGGTGAGATGCCGAAGTCGAGAGACTGAATTTGCCTCCTATGGCTGAGTTCAGGTGAGCTCTGCTGCTTTGTCCCAACTTGTGAGGGAGCCCGGTCCTCGCTGCTGGACACCGGTTCCCACCAGCATGGGCACAGACGTTCCAGCACAAACCCTTTTAATTGTGTTTAGTCCAAAGGGATCTACAAACACAGCAGCAAAGCTGGTCCCGTCTCTTAATTTGCAAGGGAAAATGGTCTGCAGAGAGCTCCTGTTCTGTGGGAGAATACATTTAATAGATTTTTAATATTTTTTTTTAATCATTCTTGTTACTTGTCCCTTAATATTTTAGGAGGAAAAATCTCAGCCTTCCCAAAAGCCTTTTACAATTGCTGTGGGGAAACAGGAGCTCCTTCCCGCAGCCAGGAATGATGAAGGGATACTGACAACGACAAATAATTTCCTCCAAAACGCTGGTGTGAAACTACCTCCACCCTCCAAACCGGAGAGTCTTATAAAAATCAATTCCCATCTCAGATTTCACTTCTATCATGTTTATTTCATTGCACAAACTTCATTTTCCACTCATGCATGGAACAGTCCAGAGAAAAAGGGATTATTTTACGTTTCTATATTAACAAAGGTTGGTTGTGTGGTTGTGTGTTTTTCATTACTTATCTTTTGTTGCTTAATATATCACTATAAGGAGAGAGGGAGAGTCTGTTGTTTCCCTTTTTTTAGGTCATCTGAAATCAGGGCATTAGTTTCATAAGACAACCTGATTTCCAGCTATTAGAGCATTTATAGTTAATTGGTGTGCAATCTCTGAAGCAATACAAAATCATTGCCAAAAAAGGCTCAGATCAACTTTTACTATGGCAACCTGCGTTAATTCTCCTTACTCCTGTGAAACAAGCATGACACGCCGCTGGCTGTCAAGCGAGGTCTTTATTTTCTCGTTAAGTATCTAAACTTACTGCTCTTGACCCATTTAATTACTGTGGTACACCAGGCAATTGCAAAGAATCTGCCGCGCTGAAGCCACACAATGAGAAGCGAATGTTTCGCCGGCTTTTCCACACCAATCCCCATCTGTGCTGCCTGAATCTGGCCGTGCCCTTCGCAGGAGAATCTCTCTGAACTGGATTCCTGGGGTTTCTGGCAGAGGTCAGCACATCTTTTCATGTACACCTTTACAACAGCAGCAGGAAGAAGCGCCTGCCAAGTTTTATTTCCAAAAAGTAAAGCTCCGTTAGGTCTTGGGACCTGGAGGTAATTGCTCTCACTAGTTAGCAAATTCCAGCACACTAGGTCTGTTTTTCATAGGTTTATTTTAAGTACCTGTAAATCTTATAAGCAGAAACCAGGAAAAAGAGCTTTGCTTTTTCTGGTGCATAGTTTTTTTAATGTACCTTGTTTTTACTGAGGGCAGACTAAACTCTGAAGTTAAAAAAAGCCCGCACTATTATTTTTGTGCAGGGCTAAAGGGCTGTGTGTTCTCTGCCCCACAGTTTCACACTTCCCTCTCACCGTAATGCCCACGCTGCACTGCGCTTCTGGCTTTGCCCAAACAAGCCCCTTCCCTTCACTGCAGCCATTGGGTGTTGATCTTCCCCATTAACCTTTCACGTCACTTAAAACACATCATATTTTGTTCTTCATGAGCCTTCAGGGGGCTCATTCCTGACCTTTAGTTTCTCATCACCACGCAAAAAAGAAAAAATAAATCCTCCTGTTGTGAAGGGAAGAGGTGTAATTCACACTTGGTACAGAGGCTCAGACTCAAGCTGGTCATTCCTGGGGGTGGGTTTCCTTCACGTTTTCTCTTTTCCGAAGGCTGCGTCACCATCACTTCATCAGGCATGACTGGGACCGCTGGAGAAGCACGCAGCGGCGTTCAGTGCGCCAGCAGGCACAATGCCCCGTGCCCTTCCACCCACCGCCCAGGCAGGCTCAGCACCACTTGGCGTTGCCACGCAGACCCGGCACCAGCTCATCAGGCACCGAGGCCACTGGCCAATGTCCCCACACTGCTCGACAGGACAGTCTCCTTGCAGCGAGATTCAGGAAAGGCTTCAGAAACAGTCGGAGAGGATGGAGAAATGGCACAATCAAACGAGCAAACCAGGCTGTAAGAATAAAAAACCAAACCAACCACCAAAACATCCAGCCAACAAGCCAAAAAACCCCACAGTACTTCCCTCCACCCATCCACCCGAGAGTATCGGTGCTCGGGATTATTCCACACAATCTTCCCCCATCTACCCAAGATAAATGCAGTTCCACTGGTGTTTCTGCAGATGCATTATTGAAGGTACACGCAGAATACTCTGTATTTGGCATACAGATATATTTTTTTTTGATCTATTAGGTATTTTATGGGGGTGAAGAAAAGAAAAATCACTCACAAGTTGTTTGACAAAAAAAAAAAAAGATAATGTAATTCTATTCCACAGAATAGATTTACTGCTCATCTGATTATCCGCAGTATCCAAGACAGAAAGTAATGGGGCAGACATTAGATCTGGGAAATTGTCCAGATTCATCATTTCAATAATAAATAGTGGTTGCATGAAAGCGAGCAAAATACTCCAGTCTGGAAAACAGTGTAAAGCATTAGTAGCGCAGTAGCATACGCTGCATTCCTGAACCTTTCTGGAGACAGTATTTTCATTAGATTTACCAAGTCTCTAAGCTGAGCTATCAATGAATTATTCAGAGTGTCCTTGCAGAGACTGGGTCTTATGTGCCTCTCTCACCCGACAAGAAACTGGATTTTCTCTGGCCTGTTTTTTGTGGAGGACCATGTGGCCTGGGTTACTGTCCAGCCCCCGAGCAGGTAAAAACCGAGTTCCTCCAAGCAACCCTGGTTTGGTTTGAACCAGTTCTACCACACAGTCGGTCCACGCAGCCAAAGCAGAATTTGCTTAGAAAATGAGCCAAGTTTGTTGCTGTTCTTCATAAAATAGCCCTGGGAAATTCATTTGGGAACAACAGGCTTTCGCTAGGTGTTATTCAAATATGGTGTGGCCCTCCCTGCCTCAGAGAATGGAATATCTAAGGTAGGACAAAAACACAACACACAAAGCTGGTACTCAAAGTAGTCCAGAATAGCACAGCAGTAGTCCAGCACACCTCTACAGACTAGCTAAAAGCCTGATCCCAAGTCCTCAAAAGTCAGAAAGCAACCCTTCCTCGATTTTAATAGACACTCTTTGGGCACTATCTTCATATTCAAATCTTAAAAAACAAAGCAGTTATTATTGGTAAAAAGAACGCCAGCCAGCACATCCTGTTCCAACATATAAACCAACTTTAACACAACCACGAACTCAGCAGAGGCTCCTCACGAGCCCAACTCAATACCTGCTGCGGATCTTGCACCACGCCTGAGGTCAGGCCGATGGCAGCAAGGTGCCAACCATCAGCCGCTCTTCTCCTCCACTCTCCAGGACAACAAGGACTAAATGGGAAAAAAAGTATTTTCTAGTTGAATTGGGAAAATTGTTCCCTGGAAAGCAGGAGGTCCACAGCTGTCTCAAGGAACTAAGACATCATTTGGTTGATAAATACAGCGTAACTAGTTTAATTACTTTAATTGGAATGT